CACAATCTCCCATCTGCTCTGCTCTCCTTACTCTCTCCCTGATCCAGTTCACCCTGTAACAAGCTACTGGTGAAGCCCTAGATTTTCAAGCAGATTCCAGGAGCACTGTGGATAAGCCTCAAGTGTAGGGTGGAGAGCATGGAATTTGAGAAGGAAGTCCCAGACTCTTCCTTTAACTTCACTCAAAACTAATCTATTTCATCTAGTTTATTCAATCAGTTTCCTCTTTTTTCTTAAAAAAAAAAAAAAAAAAATAATTCTTGGGACCAACAGATGGTATAATGGTTATGTTGCTGGACTCCCATGTAGTTGACCCCGATTCGAGTCCTGGACCTGGCAGCTTAAAACTGACACTGAGTGCATGTACATGCATGACCAAGATTCTGAGAGGAGGAGAAGGGATTGGGGTGTGGCCATCCCCACTGGGGGATGATTTCTCACTTTTGTCTCTCTGTCTCTCTGGTAAGCGTGCACGCCCTGTAGCAAAAATCTCTCTTAAAAAAAAAAAAGAAAGAGAGAGAGAGAGAAAGACAGAGAGAGAGAGAAAGAGAGAGAGAAAGAAAGGGAGAGAAAGAAAGAGAGAAAGAAAAACTTCCAAAAAACTTCCATTATCAAAGTTTGAAAGCCACCAATGAGTCTCACTGCAAACGTAGGTTAACCCTTCTCATAAGCAACTCACCAGCTTCACTAGCTTCAGTCTCACTTCCAAACCATTCTCATGCCCACCATTGCTCAGGATGTTTGCTCTAACCCTGGGAATCCAGGTATAGAGAACTCTTTCTTCTCTCAACTCCTTGGTATACTTCCCTAAGTCTTAGCCATGCCTTGCTTTCCCATCCATTTCTGATGCATTTTCATTTTGTATAGTTAGTTGGCCCAGTGAGCCAGAGGCTCCAGGTAAATTGACCCCATCTGCAGAGACACTCAGCACGAACTCACACAGAGGAACCCCACTTACAGACACAAGACCTCCCTGTACTCGCCAACACCTTCCTCCAGCCTAGCTCCACAGTCCATCAAGAAGACTGAGTACTCCACGCTCACAGCTCACCTCCTGCCTTCCCTGGCCATTTCCAGCAACTTGGTCTGTTCTGACCTCCCCTCCTCTGATCTAATGCACATTTAATCAGTGCTGCAGGGTGAACTCCCACCACTAATTGGTCTCTGGTTGTTACAGATGTTGCTTTGGTCTCTAAACTGCAGCTCACTGAAACAATGGGGTTCCTCTTAACACTTCTCATTAAAGGCAGGTGTGTGGGTGCCCAGAATCTTGGGAAGAGAGTGGAAGAGAAGGGATTGTGGTGCAGCCATCCCCCATGGGGGGTGATTTCTGTTTTTCTGTCTCTGACTCTCCAGCAAGTGCATAAGCTCTATGGCAAAGATCTCTCTAAAAAAAGAAAAGAGAAAAAATAAAAGCAGATGACCTATTTCCCTTCCTCAAACTTCAGTTAAAGAGCATCACGTGAGTACCACTGAATTCCAACGGAGGAGAACCTTCTCTTTCTGTATCTTCCATCTTCGTATTCAGCTGCTGCAAATAACTTACAGTGTTGTGAATATGCATAAAACTGTATGCTTTGAAAGGAAAAGTGGCAGCACTATTGACCCATTTCCATCTTGCTCAGCCTGCTGCAGTTATAATAGAAACCTAACACCAAGTAAAGGGGGTAAAGATACAACGGTCTGTACAAAATCCAGAAGTGGCAAGTGAAGTGACTGCTAGGTCTCCCTAGAACTGAATTTGTGAAGACAGAGACCCAGGGTATTCCAGCATCTCCTGGAGATCACCAAGTCAGTTTTTCAAAAGAGAACAGTTCAGTTCCTTGGGGCCTCTCAGAACCTTTCCCTCTACCCCATATCCTCATAGCTTGTTGCTCCCCTATAACTTAAGAATGCTGTGTAGACACATGCCTCTTCCTGCAGCTCTAATGCTGCTAAAACTAAGAGTTTGCAACACTGATTCTCTATCTCAGGTTTCTCCATTCAATTCATAAGAGAGACAGTGTGGACCAGCCAGTGGTATGGATCCCACACGGTCATCTGTATGTTCAAGACTCAGACCTGACAGCTTGGAAAACACACTGGGCACATGTGCTTGTGTGCCAAAAATCCCAAAAGCAGAAGGGATTGTGGCATGACTATAACTCAATGGGAGGTATTTTCTTGCTTTCTCCCTCCCCCTCTCTCTGGAGGGTGCACACACTCTCTAGCAAAATTAGAAAGAGAGAGTGAGAGAATCTGATTGACTCAGTCCAGACCGTGGCAAGGTTCTCCTTTGTAAGGTACCAAATAAGGAAGAAAGGGGACTGCCATACAAAGAAGACAACCTGGAGGTTCTGGGAACAGAATCTTACTAAGGAGACATGACTAAGAAGGTGGAGACTAGTCTCTCTAATGACATTTAATACTTACAATACATTTTTAAATGTGCCATTGGCTGCATCTCACTTAACCTCTTCTGTTTCCCAAATACGCTATTCTCTTGAGCAGTGCTTCTAATTCCCAAGCACATGAACAAAAGATCAGCAACCTGGAATCCATCTGTGCTAGACTGAGTGTGCCGTGTCAGTCAAAATGGCACCAACAGTCTGTCTCAAAGAAGTGTCTCGTATCTATCATTGGAAAAATCTCCTAAATTTAAACAGACTCAATCACTGTACCTAAATCAGGATCTTCTCTTAGACTAACAAGCTTGCATTCCGTTATTTGTATTTCAAGTCATTAAGAATGCAATTTTCATCTGGTTCTCTGAAAAGAATTTCATGTTTACATGTCCCGAGAGCATTCTCTAGTGAATATCTTTATGTCATGGGATTTTTCACTGCTGGACAGCATAGTGTTTGTTGTTTAGTAAAGAATACTTTGAGATATGAGATCAGTGTCTGAAAACCAGCACAATTTTTTGAGATAAAAATGTCCAAGAAGCAGAGTTTTTAAAAATTCTGTCAGGTTTTGATGTTACCAATCTTATTTTCATTAAAACAAATACGTTTAGACAAACCGATTACTATCTCATTGCATTACTGGCCTATAGCTCTCCATTCTGCAATTTTTAACATATGTTAGGTTTCTTTAATTTTCATCAAGTGAAGACCAAAAACAAATGAGAATTCCCACCAGAGTTCTAACAAAAACATAGTCAAGTTGTAAATTACAGAAGCAAGAAACATAATTAATTCTCCAGTAAAGAAGTATGGAGCCACAACTGGCATTTTATGGACTCAAGGTATATAATACCAAAACCAAACTAAACATTTTTGAGACTACTTTTACCTGTGATAACAAATTATTGAATTTTCTGCCAAAGGAAAGACTTATAGAACCTGCAAGACTCAGATTTAACAGAAAACAAATCAGTATTATTGGACATTAATGATTTTTGAGTCTTTGAGATGGATTTTATAGTCAACAACAATGATTCTGTCTTACTCACATTGAATCATGTAGAGAAGAGGAATTTCAAAATTGGCATTTCCCACGCAATTTATTGCCTACAACTAAAGGCAAACACTGGTTTCCCCTGGTATCTCTCAACTTCACCTTCACTACTTCTGCATGAGAGCAGAACTCCCTGAACAAGGCTTTGTGTGTGAAATCAGAACTCTGCTGTAGGGAAGAAGCTCTTGTGATCCTTTCTGCAACCACTTTTTTCCTGGTCCTATAGATATACTTTGATATATACAGTATTGCTTTTGCTTATTTTCTCCCTAATAATCTACCTGATGCAATATATGAAGGAATGTACTGCTATTTTCAGCAGACAGGTGGATCTTTTTTCTGATTCTGAATATGGAAATAACACATTGTCCAAGAATTAATTACTCCTTCCGTGCTCCCATGGCAATTGTATCTGTTTTAACACAAGGAATATAAATTGCCTCATACACTGGGTAGCCAATCAAACCACAAATGTCTTCCTAGACCATACTCTTTGAGGAAAGAGAATGTCCCCATTATGGTTTTGTTTTTTGTTTTTTTTTTTAGCTTATTCATTTACATCTTCCATGAGAGAGACAGAGAGAAAAAAAAGAGAGACAGAGAAACAGGCATACCCATCCCTGCTACACACACACACAGGGTCTTCATGCAATAGTCCACTCCTAGTCAGCATCGCAAGCAGGTACATGCCTGCCCTGTGTGTACAGAGAGGTCCCACGACACAAACTCAGGACCTCTCCTATGTGGGTCCAGTTGTGTTACCACTGCACCATTACCTGGTACCTCTCTATTATTTTTGTTTCTCTTCAGGTCCCTGGAATAGTACTTGGTGTTGTCAAGGAATGGCTGATGGAAACTGCAGAGTCCCATACTAAACCATCCCAGATAAATTTATAATCTGAGGGAAAACTTCACTTGGCAAACTCAACCTTAAGACAGTTTCCTTAGCTCATTCTCCTTCACCTTCCAGTCAACTATGTAGCTTAAACCTCTGTCCTAAGTAGAAATTACAGAGCTTCCTGTTACTTAGCATAAAGTGTCAAAACAGAGGAGAGGTGGGGGGTTCAGGAAAGGAGAAATAAAGAGAAAAAGAAGAGAGATAATTAACATTTTTGAGCCCTATATGTCAGGAAGTGTGTTAAATATTTTGCTTGCTTTGTCTCATGTAATCCTACTAACAGTCCTAAACAGAGTGCTACTATTAGGTTATTTTTCAAATGAGAAAACTGCAAAAACTAGATAACTGCTCAGAGTTACCATAAGAAATAAAGCCAAGTATTCAGAAATTATTAGATGATTGAATAAATGATGCTTATCATTTACCATCATCTTTCCCCTGACATTTCAATGGCAGTTGAAAACTAGAGTAAAATAAAATCTGTCTAGTACTTCTCTCCATAGAATTGCAGGCACACATATATATATACCTGTCCACAGTCTGTCAAATTGGATTAAGTGCTCAATATATAATAAGACTTCAAAAAGTTGATGAGCCTGGAGTGATTCCGTCCTGTGCCGCTGTTTTCGGTAGCCATAGTCGTTTACCTACGTCCACCTTCTCGCCCACCCAAGTGCATGCCACCACCCCATGGAAGAGTCGATGGACATGGACATGAGCCCCCTGAGGCCCCAGAACTATCTTTTCGGTTGTGAACTAAAGGCCGACAAAGATTATCACTTTAAAGTGGATAATGATGAAAATGAACACGAGTTATCTTTAAGAACGGTTAGTTTAGGGGCTGGTGCGAAGGATGAATTGCACATTGTTGAAGCAGAGGCAATGAATTATGAAGGCAGTCCAATTAAAGTAACACTGGCAACACTGAAAATGTCTGTACAGCCAACGGTTTCCCTTGGGGGCTTTGAAATAACACCACCTGTGGTCTTAAGATGGAAGTATGATTCAGGGCCTGTGCATATTAGTGGACAGCACTTAGTAGCTGTGGAGGAAGATGCAGAGTCAGAAGAAGAAGAGGAAGAGGACGTGAAACTCTTAAGTATATCTGGAAATCGATCTGCCCCTGGAGGTGGAAGCAAGGTTCCACGGAAAAAAAGTAAAACTTGCTGCTGACGAAAGACTCAAAACCATCAACACCAAGATCAAAAGGTCAAGAATCATTCAAAAAACAGGAAAAAACACCTAAAGCACCAAAAGGACCTAGTTCTGTAGAAGACATTAAAGCAAAAATGCAAGCAAGTATAGAAAAAGGTGGTTCTCTTCCCAAAGTGGAAGCCAAGTTTATCAATTACGTCAAGAATAGCTTCCGGATGACTGATCACGAGGCTATTCAAGATCTCTGGCAGTGGAGGAAGTCTCTTTAAGAAAATAGTTTAAACAGTTTGTTAAAATTTTCCATCTTATTTCATTTCTGTAACAGTTGATAGCTGGCTGTCCTTTTTATAATGCAGAGTGAGAACTTTCCCCACCGTGTTTGATAAATGTTGTCCAGGTTCTATTGCCAAGAATGTGTTGTCCAAAATGCCTGTTTAGTTTTTAAAGATGGAACTCCACCCTTTGCTTGGTTTTAAGTATGTATGGAATGTTATGATAGGACACAGTAGAAGTGGTGGTCAGACATGGAAATGGTGGGGAGACAAAAATATACACGTGAAATAAACTCAGTATTTTAATAATAATTTTTAAAAAGTTGATGAAGAAATGGACAAGTTTATTTCAGGGCCAAAAAAAAAAAAAATTGAAATCCATGCTTAGGTCTTTCATAATACACATTTTCTATGTATTTTTGGAAGACCCCTTGTACTTAGCCAAGGATGCAGAAAATTACTGACGGTATTATAGCCACACAGACGGCAGCAGGTACAGCATCTGGCGGTAGAGTTTCTCCTGGCTGTTGGAACTCTCACAGGCGAGAAACAGCCAACTGTTGGAGGAAGCATCTAAGAAAGGAACTTCTAGTGGAACCAGGAAAACTCGATTCTTGCTACACCACAACCTTCTATACTGAGCATTCCAGACAAACTTCCCATTTTAGTCAAACTTTGACTAACCATCTGTGTGCCTGCGATAAGGGGATGTTTACAAATATCAGGTTCTCCTGGTTCTTAAACCAAATTCAGCCTTAGCAAACCTACTTGCTCCTTGGGGAGAGAAAGCAGCTGGTGCTCAAGTATCCCTGAGCAATTGCTTGGCATTCAACTTCCCCAGCTGGGGAAGCCAGTTCCTTGCGCATTTTAGAAACCTCAGGGACCAGTGGTAACACAAAGCTCTGAAAGGCTGACCCACATGGGAAAGTTCTGGGTTTGCTTCCAGAGATCTCCATGAACTCACTGGGCACACACTTCCACAGGATCTGGAGCTGGCTAAGGGTAGGTGTGGATCAGGGCATTGAGAACCTGCAGACTACCTGTCTCTCTGCCTCTCTCTTTCTCTTTGTGTCTCTTTACATTTTTTTTTTTTTGGAGAGATTTTCACTGTAGGGCGCGTGTGCTCACCAGACAGACAGAGAGAGACATAGAGACAGAAAGCGAGAAATCACCCCCCAGTGGGGATGGTCACGCCGCAATCCCTTCTCCTCCATTCTCCTCTCGGGATCTTGGGCACGACCCACACGCGCCCGGCGTACGCGCCCGGCGTGAGTTTTAAGCCACCAGGTCCGGGACACGAACCGCGGTCGACTACGTGGGAGTCCAGCGACATAGCCATTACGCTAACTGCTGGTTCCCTCTTTACATATTTTTAAGTTTATTCCTTTCTTCCATGAGTGAGAGAGACACACAGAGATACAGCACCTCTGATAGGGTCCCAGCACCATGGTCCACATCCCAAGCTCAGTCAGCTGGATCATGAACAACTCCACCCAGTGTACTCAGGGAGCTCTATGAACTTGAACTGGCAACCCTCCCACATGGCACTGCCTCACAAAGTGATGTGTTCTACCACTATGCCACTGTCCAGCCCCCAGGGAATTAACTTTAAAAAAAAAAAAAAGAAAAAGAAACTTCAAAAAATTGTTGGTCTAGTATTTCTGAAAGTGTGATCTACAAACCCCTGGGTCAGAATTTCCTGGTTCATTTGTCAGAAAAGCTCATGACTCACCCCCGCCCCCCTTGACCTATTGAATCAGATTATCTAGGGTTGGAAATCAAAACTTGGCATTAATAGCATGCTCCCTAGTGCTGCTCCTATTCAGTAACGTCTCAGCCTGGCTATATATGGGGAGGATGCTCTCAGCTTGCAAGGAGAATCTCATTTATGTGAAAATAACCTTTCATTCAAAACCCATTACAGTTGCAAACTTTTCATTCCAGTGTCTGGCATTGTCGAAGAAGCCAGGGACCTAGAATTTCAAGCTTCCTTAAAATTGGACTCATTAAACAGCATGTTAATCATGGATCAGGGATTGCACATTATACAACCCATTAAGCTTTTGTATGTTCCTGGAAGACTGCAGATTGTATAAAAATACAAATGATCCAGCAGTTAAAATAATTGGGTATAATGAACAGCAAAATTAATTATGAATGACCACATTGCTTACCCAGTTGACCTAAGTCATTAGCAGATGTAATGGGTCAAATAAAAATAAGATTTATTTTAGCTTTTACAAAGTGCTCCACAAGTATCCACAGTAATCCAGCATCTCATGGTCAGCCCAGAGGATATACATGATACAGTGTATGAGGCTATGGATGGTCATCTAGAGAAAGATTCACTATGGCTCCATCATAAGAACATAACCTATTATGAGAGTCTATATTTCTTATAGATCAGGAAGAACATGATTCATCTTTCTGAGTTATTTGTTGGGTTGTCGGGAAAGTTATGATGCATTTTTGCATTAAAAAAAAATGAGGGACTAGCAGGTGGTATGGTGGTTAAGGGCGCTAGGTTCCCGCATGGCCAACCGTGGTTCAAGTCCCGGACCTGGTGGCTTGCTTTCTCTCTCTCTCTCTCTCTCGTAAAATAAAGAAAAAAATGGAAATAAATAAATAAATAATTCTTAAAAAAAAAAAAAACACATGAAAAATACAGCATGACTTTCCCTATGACCTAATAAATGGACTCTTCTGTACCATCACGGTGTTTCCTGATTTAGCAAAGCAGTGACTTTACTAGATTAGCATTTCCCCCAATGTTCTGTGGAATTCTAACCCTGAAGATATTGGGGGCAGGGAGAGATGGAGAGGGGTGTGAAGACAGGGCCTCTGAACCAAATACTTTCACAAAACAACCCATTCCTAAGTTCTTCTTGCAGATTCACAACACAAACTAGCATATTCAAGGTTCTGGGAGCCCGACAGTGAAGACCTGCACTTTAGTTCTGCATTAGTCAATGTTTTGCTGTGGGCAGCAGGACAAATACTGCCTAATCTAAGGATAAGGGAATCAGAGGGACATGAAATAGCTCCCAGAATAGGAGAAAAGTTGGAAAATCAAGGATATCAAAGACAGAAAAACACCAGAACCATCTGGCTAGGGCCCGCACCATGGCCATCACCAGTCTTTTCACCATTTCGTCTTCTATCATTGTATATTCCCCAGACAAACCATTTCAGGAAGAAGCATTTGAATAGACAACCTGGGTTGGAAACCTGTTCTCTGACTAGTGGGGACAATGAAAATTATTATCTACCCTGTCAAAATCCTTACAGGGGACAATGAAAACACTCACTTCAGGATTCACATATCTGGCAGCTCCCTGCCCCTGGACTGACACTCTTGGTATCAATTTTTCAGCTCAGTTTTATTTAATCCAGCACTTTCAAAAATTATTCTACCTCAGTTTCTTCACATAGCACATATAAACGGTAGAATGGACTTTTGAAGGTAAGGTAAATAGCAGTAAATGGGGTATGTAATTGATGTACACTTGGGCCACATGGTTAATATATACAACTTAGTATATATTTAACACACTTAGTAAATCTCATCATAAGCATGGTTAAAAGCTGTCATTTGTGTTTGCAATAGTATTCTAACAGATCATTCCTGGAAGATAGAGGTTCTGAGGCAAATCATCCTAAATGTTCCTATCTCCCAATTAAAAAAAAAAAAAAAAAGAAGAAGAAGAGAGTTGACCGTTGTTTAAAGTTAATCCCTGGGGCCAGCAGGTGGCATAGTGGCCAAGACACTGGATTTCCAAGTAGCTGACAATGGTTCAAGTTCCAGACTAGGAGCTTGAAACTTATACTAGGAACATGTGCGTGTGTGCCAAAATCCTGAGAGGATAATGGAGGAGAAGAGATTGAGGCTTGACCATTCCCCCTGGGGAGTGATTTCTCTCTGTCTCTCTCTGTCTCTCTAGCAAGTGTATGTGCCCTACAGCAAAAACCTCTCAAAAAATAAAAATAAACTAATTAATGAATAAAAATGAATCCCAAAGGTGGTCCTGATAAGAAATTAGCAAGAGGGCCACTCAGTAAGGGTGGGACAGAGGATGCTTTAGTTGTTACTCTGTCCATTAATAGGATTGTAATCATATGCATGGCACCTTATTTATTTATTGTGTTAAAGAATTATTTATTTAACTTTATTTATTTATTTTTAAATTTGCTACAGGGCACATGCACTCACCAGAGGGAGAGACAGAGAGAGAAAGTAAAAAAGTAAACCACCAGGTCAGGGACTTGAACTACAGTCAACCACGTGGGAGTCTAGCACCCTAACTACCATGCCACCTCCTGGCCCCTGCCTGGTACTTTATATTTTACACTGTGCATCCATTGCCTTTCCTCTTTGGTTATAAAATCTCTGGGTCAATAGTTCTCACATGAGCCTAGGGTTCTCTGAACTCCAGCTCTCAGACCTGCCTCCTTCTTTCTCCGAGGAGGTTGCCTCCCTGAGTCACAACCTAGAAGTCTCTCTGACCACGAACTCAGCAACAGCTCTCCCTGCCAGGTCTTACATGATGCTAACACAGGGAAAGAAAGATGCTACTTTCTGTAGCACTCAGGCCTCTGTTGTCTGTCTCCAGTTTTCCCACACTTTTCAAATCCAGAGTATTCACAGTAAAATTAATCCCCAGAGAGCAAAGGAGCTCAAAGCAGGGGAAATGAGGACCAGTGAGAATGCAGCTGGCCCACACATGGCAAAGAGAGGAGCAGAGCGGAGACTCACAGCCTGTAGAGTAGAGTCATCCAGCAGCTTACAGAGATCCCAGAGGAGAAAGAGAGCTGTGCAGATTGTTCTCGCTTAGCGGTGTCTAACACATGCATGAGCTAGCTCAGCCCCTGCCTACCTCTGCCTTTGTGCAGCCCATATGTGGTACTAAAGTCCAGTTATCTGTACTCAGCACAGTGAGTACCTAGCCTGACAGCACACTAGCTGTTCCTTCTTCATTAGTGACTGGGGCCCAGACGGTCCACACCCATACATTGGGCTAGGGC